CCAAAGAGGCTTCAGGCCCAGTACCAGAGCACAGAGGTCCTTCATCCCTGTCACTGTCTGTAAACAATTGCCCGTCCCAGCGGCCCGCCCTATGCTATTCCTGGCCTTTCCTGACATCTTTCAAAGACTCAAAACTAACTGAGAGTAGAAGTAAATCTGAGCAACGCTGTGCAAGTGGAAGAATAGTCAAGCTCAGAAACAAGTTATGAATAGTGGTGCCAAAGCTGAGTTTGAACATCTGCCACTGAGTCCCAGTAGAACAGTAATGCTGCCGGTGTTGATGACAGAGTAATTAATTGTCTAATAATGATGCATAGCTCTGTTATAAAAACAACCTTGTGCTGCGGCTGCCCTTCATCCTCTCATGAAGGATAATCGTTTTTGCAGCTGTTTAAAAATTATTTCCTATCTGTTTCTATTACAATCGCAATAACATGATCCACACAACAACCTTGCAAAGAAGACTAAGTGGAAATGGGGTGCATGATTATATGATATACTGCGCACCAATTTCAAACTAAAGGATTGACTCCTTTTCACAAGTAAAATAAGTGATTTAAACTGCCTGGTGTTGTTTTTGTTGTTGTTCTTTTATCCAAGTACCGTTGAAAATGCTCTGCCTCTTTAGTGTATAAGTTGTTTAGTAATAATTAAACAAAGACAGTAGCTTCTGGCTTTTATGAACTTCAACAGTCTGAGTCACTTTCCATCCAGTAAGATGAAAACCACTTTGTCCTTTTTCTCCTGAGTGATTCCTGTCCTCCAGGAAGTCAATCATTTTCTTCTCCCTGCTGATTGGAGGTAATTAGGCGAGCCGAGTTTGTAATTGGATAATAAAAGATGTTAATGAGCCGCTGTCCTATTAACTCATTCTGTGGCAGTGAATAGCAGGACACGGCTTTGCCACACTTCTGCGATACAACTCTAATAAAAACCGATACATTTCACAATAATAACAAGATGTACATGTTAATTATATCGGAATAATCCGCCCTATCAAGTTAGGATAATAGGATACTTAAGGCCTTATAGCACATTTTAAATAATCTGATGACCTCAAAGGTGTGTAAATGTAAAGGAAACCAAATATTTTTGTGAGTACATTGCACTCATGGATGTATTTATGACTATTTTGAGCTTTAGTGTTTATATTTATTTCGTGTTGATTGTTATTGAAGAATACGTTTCCTGCATGAACTCATCTCTTTTTTTAATGTTTAATTAATGTACATTTTCAGCTTCACCCAGAGGTGGCTTGACAAAAACTAAGAAAGTTATTTATGGTAACAACCTTCACAGAAAAGGGTCATTCTCTGAATCTCATTTCACACAGTCCTCCTCTCTACCTTTAGTGTGCTGCTGCTCTTCCATTGTCCGGGCCTTGATACTGACAAGGTTGACATCAGAGGAGAGCTCTGACACCGGGTGAGTTAGGACTGCCAGCTGTTAGCAATCAAGTCTATTTTGAAGTCAGGGACACATGGACCCCCAGGGCCAAAGCAGCAACTAGCCCAACCCCTCGTCCCCCCAACCCAGCCTACAACCTCCGAGCCCCCTGGTCCCACAGATAGCCAGCCCAGCTGTATTGGTTCCAGATGTTGCAAAGCTGCAGTAAGGGCCGTTTACCTAAGAGGACCCCAAAAAGGATGACGGACCTGCACAGAGCGTAGTAATGCTGCAAACACTGAGCTGAAGCCTATTTCCAACAATAAGACAGTAGACAGCTAAATAGATTTGAATAAAATATATTATAAGGTTTAACATAATATTCTCATACTCTTCTCCTTGACAGAGGATGTGCTGTATGCTGTGACAGAGAAGGCATTACCTCTGCAAACTGCTTTTAGAGAATATCAGTTAATATTAGACATTGGCTTCTTCCTGGGCGAACTTGCTGTCATCAAAAATATTGGCCTGAATACTAAAGAGTCTAATCTTTATGGAAACTAGGCCCTGAAACATTTTCGTGTTTTTTAGTAGCAAGACCTAAAGAGAAAACATGTTCAAATTATATACAATCATCAGTATGCAGCTCCAGGCCACATAAAACACATTTGAAATCTGGATAGAGTGAGAAGGGGCTGGCACTCAGGTTGTTTGAAAGGAAATGATCAAATCTTTGCAGCTGCATTGTTTCTGTGTCGAACAGGTCAATCAAAACTCTCAGGAAATTGGTTTTGACAGGTGGAATGTCCCGGTAAAATGTCTTGGCCTGCTCTCTCTCTCTGCTTAAATGTGATCAAAGAATAACATAATAGTAAATATGTAAACATGAGACTAATTTAAACTATCTGTTAACATATGTGAGAGAGTGACATTAGAGTCTGACATTAATAGAAACAGATGAGGGTCTAACATGAATGTCTTCATGTCAAATTTTCTTTCTGTTGCATAGTCTGCAGGGCCCAGGAGTTCAAAACTTTTAATCCCTATCTGATCAGATCAGATTTGGATTTTGGGGAGCTCAAAACCAAAAAAACAGGATTAGGACCACTTTGATATCCGATCAGATCAGGAAATCCAATCCAAGCTTTAATCTGGATCAAATCTTCAAAATGGGTAGTTCAAACCGACAACACAGGATTGGGATCAGTTTGATCCCAAAAAACTGGATTACCCTGATCCCACCAGAGGGGTGGATTTCCAGTGGATTACCAGAGCAAAAAGAACTGTACAATTTATTTTAAAATATGTTTTAATTTAAATAAGATGGCAACGTTTGTTAACTGAAATAATACACACTTTTTAGCCTTGATGGGAAATACGTTTTATTTTTTCGATTTTTGCTCACGTTTCTGGTGGCCTATTTTGTTTTCAACCAAATGTTGATGACATAAATGTTTATGCTGATACAAGTATCACAGCAAAGATTGTCAATCACAAATGTAATTTAGATTAAAGTAAAAATATCTTCAACAAAAAAAAAGTCCATCATCTGTCATCACCTTTCAAATAAAAAAATATAATTAGTCATTATAGATGTCTCTGCAATGTGGTCTCTTGTCTTCCTTGTATAATTTTTCATATCCACTAGATGGCGATCGGTAGGATTAAAGCACTGATATTCAGGATCTAGTCATCTTGAAAAATCGTAATCTGGATCAGGCTGATCCTATCCTGAATTGCTTTGAACTCCAGGGACAAAATTTGGCCAACTTGTCTGATCCTGGATCAGAAAAAATGGGATTTCAAAATCTGATCGGATCTGATTGAGATTAAAAGTTTTGAACTCCTGGGCCCTGATGATCATGTGTGATCTTGCTTTGATGGCACCTAATCTCAAACAGACCATCGAACACATTGA